AATATGGATAAATACAAATTAAATGACCACTCAAATCCAATTGTACAACAATAAATTATAAGCTCCTAAGTTTGGACTTCCCAGGAGGTCACCCAGCCCAGTACTACTCAAACCTAAGGACACTTAACTCCAATTATCCCAAGACCTTTAACCGATTGGAAAAGGGGGTGCACTCTTATTCATGGGCCCTTTCCCTCTATATTTGAACTCCATGGACTGTTTTTTAAGTCGTTCAATTTGGTTGCTTACATAAACTAACCAATACATATAGCTCACATAACCGGAGGCTGGGTTAATCTCGACTAGCTTATAGTGCAGCCTGCCACTCTAGCCCTTGCCACCAAGGAGTTTCTAGGAACAGTTCTTAAAGTCCAAGAAGCAGCACTCAAGTGCATCAAAGCTATAAGCCGGGACAAGAAGACTGCTCCAGCCTTGGATGCAGTCTTTGAGATGGTTGCCGGGGCGGTGGTGAGCTTAGCTTGCAGTCAGTGTGAGTTGAAAGAGCTAGCCGCAGAGACAGTGAGTGCTCTATCCAGTAGCGACCCAGGTCTCTGTAAGCTCCTGAGTTTGGACTTCCCGGGAGGTCACCCAACCTAGTACTATTCAAACCCAAGGACGCTTAACCCCAAATATCCCAAGACCCTTAACCGTTTGGAAAAGGGGGTGCACTCTTATTCATGGGCCCTTTCCCTCTATATTTGAACCCCTATGAATCGTCTCTCGAATCGTTCCCTTTAGTTGCTTACAATCCACCACGCTTCCCTGCAAGTTCACGCCCTCGTGAACGGAAGCTGAGAGCCGTAGCTCTCCCGAGAGCCCCGCTCTCTTGACACCCTACCCCTCGGGTCGAGCCCAGCGGGAGCAAACTAGACCAGCCAGATGTCAATCAACATGTGGTGTGATTCCCCTAGCCAACCCTCGGGTCGAGCCCAGCGGGAGCAAACTAGACCAGCCAGATGTCAATCAACATGTGGTGCGATTCCCCTAACCAACCAACAGAGTCGGACCCAAGACCCCTCTGATACCAAATGTAAGCTCCTGAGTTTAGACTTCCCGGGAGGTCACCCAGCCCAGTACTATTCAAACCCAAGGACACTTAACCCCAAATATCCCAAGACCCTTAACCGTTTGGAAAAAGGGGTGCACTCTTGTTCATGGGCCCTTTCCCTCTATATTTGAACCCCTATGGATCGTCTCTCGAATCGTTCCCTTTGGTTGCTTACAGTCTCATGTGGATCCTGGTAGTGGACTTACCTTATGAAAGTGGTGAGGCGGTGGCTCCTCCGTCTCTGTGTCTTCCAAGCTGCTCGGAGATACTCCCGCCACTCATGTTAGACACCGAAGCCTTGTGCTCACAGTACACGGGACAAGACTTTCGGCTCTGGCACGAGCTCAACTGCAGGTGTGTGTACAAGCTTCTTCAAAGCTTGACTTCGTGCACTAACGTAATGTTCCTTTGCTTTTGTTCTTGTTGGTTTTTGATGTATCTTCTCCGTAGAAGCAATGAGGAACTGGCTGTAGCTGTAGATCTTTGAAGTTTGTAACTCTTGTTGGTGTGTATGAGCTTCTACGCAAACTACTTCTCGCTAGAACCAATGAGATTTATACAGCTTCCAAACTTTGTAACTCTCGAGCTTTTGGAGATTGTTTCCTAGAAACTTAAAGCATACAGTCTTTCATCAAAAGCTTTGCTAGAGCTTCCACAACTCTAGGGTAATGGGCCCAATTTTTGCCAGGGTTAATAAAATAATGTACGAATTCATTTATTTAAATATAATTTTTGTACGTAAAGGTATAATATAAAAGTTTATATGATTTACTGCTTATAAACTAATTTTTAGAAAAAACTACTCACAAAATCTTAAAAACCGCTCATTACCAAAAAGTCTAAAGTTATCCTAAGTCCGTCCATTTATGGCCCAATATCCGTCCATTTATGGCCTAATTTTTTGTCCATAGATGGCCCTAACATTGTCCATTTGTTGCCGCGAAGAGGAGAGAGGGGCAAAAAAAGAGAAAGAATGAAGTCATGGAATCTCTAATGCCAAGCAAACACCAAAAACAAAGGTAATGAATTTGCTTGTTTTCACTCTAATATTTTTGGGCTTCTTTCTCCTTCTTTTTTTTCAAGGCTTCCAATTTTTTCTTCTCTATCACTTCAGCTTTTCTAGTTGTTGCTTCTTCGCTCTCTTTTTTCTTGATGGCTGTTGCTTCTTTCTTTTTTATTGTTGCTTCTTCTCTTTCCTTTTTCCTTGCAACCCTTTCAATTGCTTCCAATTTTTTTTGCTTCTCATGTGCTTCTTTTGTAGTGGCAATTGCTTCAAGAACACTAATGAATTATAAACTTGTTAAAACAGTTCTAGCACTCGCTTGCAACACTGGTCCAAGTTGAGGACGACTTTGCACCCTTGAAAATAATTTTGCATGCAGGTATGCCACCTTGTTGTTTTCTAATTGCCATCCAGGCACATCCACATGTTGCTCACGCTACTTAGCTCGATGCTCTAGCGAAGCTCTTGGAAAACAAAGTTGTAAGTGAATGAGAATTGAGAAGTGCTTTTTACCTAGTTACTCAAATTGTCTAGGAAGTTTAGGATGCTCAAGCTGGTCACGATCACTGCTTGCTTGCTGCTTAGGCTACACTGAATGCTGTAGATGGACCTCAGCTTGCATTGGATCTTCATGTTGTTCAGGCTGCACTAGATCTTGCTCAAGTTTTAGTTTGTGATTGAGGTGGCTGCTGATCTCTTTAAAGTGTTTTCGAAGTCTGCTTCAAAGTCATCGAGAGATATTGCATGGAGTGTACTTGGACCAAAGTTCGTGTCCATAGCATTCTTGTTCAATGGCCATAAACCATTTTCTCTAAAACTGGACTGGATGTTTGTAAGTGTCAGCCATGGCTATGGCTCTACTGGATAACTGTGAGAGATCTTGACGATTGACTTCATGTCCTAGATGTCCAAGAGTGTGTTCAAGCTCAAAAACTTCAAACCTGGCCATACATTTAGAACCCCCCATGAATAGCTTGATGAAATTGCCACATAATTTTCCATTTATCACATGACCCCATGTGAGAATTGGGCCCATTACCCTAAGAAAAGAAAAAAAAATGTGGCTACCTTACATCTGCGAAGGCGATGGTGGCATCCACACCTGGTGTGGTGGCAACACCCCCGGTGATGGGAACCGCTGCCCCTGCGGCAGTACCACCGCTGGCGCGGGCAGCGGCGCCTGTGCATGGTGGTGGTGGTGCGACCAGTCATGCTGCTGGGGCGGCAGCAGCGACACCACCATGTACGGCACCCCGCTACCATAACCATGCCTCGGGCGGTGGCAGCGGCAGCTGGAACTTGGGGATGATGTGCGGCTTCCGGTCGGGGTTCTCGGCGGCGATCTCACTCTCCACGGGCGACCCATGCAGCTCGCCACTGTCCTTCTTGCGCGCGTATGACACGCTCAGCTGCTGGTTCTCGATGAACTGCTTGTCCATGCTCTCGATGGCCAGGTCCTACGCCTCGAAGCAGTCGTAGTCCATGAAGCAATAGCCGGGCCGTGTCTGGTCGTCTGAGTGGACGACGCTCGAGTAGACGATGTGGCCGAAGCCGCTGAAGATGGATCCCAGGAGGTAGTTGTCCACGGTCCCGCCCACGAAGAGATTGGTGCCGACGTCCTCGTCCTTGTGCGAGGCCTTGCTCATCCGGCCACAGAGGCGGCAGTTGTTGAGGATCTTGATGGTGTTGTCTCGTTGGCCAGCTCCACGAAGCCGTAGCCCGAGTGCGCGGTGGTGATCTTGTCGCGCGGGATGTAGACGCTCTGGACGTGGGCCACCTGCGTGAAGAGCTCCCACAAGATGTCCTCGGTTACCTGGGGATCCAAGTTGCCCACGTGGGACAGGAGCTTGGCGTAAAATGTAGCCCTAAACCTTTCCCCCTAATTTCTAGGGTTCCCTGTCCAGCAGGAAGCCCGGAGCGCCAGGGCATGAGAATTTACTGCGCCTGCGCCTCCCCGCTCCTTGCTGGATCCGCCCATCCCTCCGCGCAGGTACACATTCCGCTTGGATTCCTCCTCCTCCTCCTTTTCCTCGCGGCGGCCATGCAAGCCATGCGGCCCCACCGGCGGAGCAAGGAGAGCTCGCTCAGCTCCGACGCCATCTTCACGCAGAGCCACGCCGGCCTCTTCAACCTCTGCATCGCCGTGCTGGTGGCGGTGAACAGCCGGCTCATCATCGAGAATCTCATGAAGTATGGCCTCCTCATCCAGGCCGAGGTCCTCTTCAGCTCCAAGTCGCTCAAGGACTGGCCGCTCCTGGCCTCTCGCTGCTGATCTTCCCCCTCGTCGCCTATGTCATCGAGAAGATCAAGGCTCGGCGCCCCGCCACCGCCGTGGCGCCGTTCCACTTGATCAACCTCGCCGCCGCGCTGCTCTACCCGATCTGCGTGATCGAGATCGGATCTCCTGTCGGGGCTGATTTTCATGCTCATTGCCGTCACCGGCTGGCTCAAGCTCGTCTCGTACGCGCACACCAACGCCGACATCCGCGCGGTGAAGAAGGACGGTGGCAAGAGCTCCCCGCCGAGGCCCCGGCGATCGACTACCCGGACAATATCTCGCCCAAGAACATCGCCTACAAGCAGCTCGCCATTTTTGGTGGTGTTCCGTCATCTCCGGGATCTTCCACGAGATTTGCATCGCGGTGCCGTGCCACATGTTGCGGGGTTGGGCGTTTCTGGGGATCATGTTCCAGTTCTGGTGACCAACCTCCTCCAGCGCAAGTTCCAGAGCTCCATGGTCGCCAACATGATCTTTTGGTTCTTCTTTTGCGTGCTGCTCTACTACCACGACGTTGTCAACAGGCAGCAGCTCCAGCTAGCCGGGCGGTCCAAATAATCCTGGGTGATACGTCACAGTATGTCATAGCAAGGCATAATGGTAGCAGGGAAATAATGATTCATCTGATCGACGCAATCTTTTTTGGTGATCTTTAGTCGAGGCCGCCCACTGCTCGTCCTGGAGCTGATAAGGCACCTGAGGGACTCGTCCTGGAGCTGATAAGGCACCTTAAGGTTTCTTATGTTTCTCACGTCACCACAGGACTGTTTTGGAAAAACAAACCACGGCTCTTGAAAGGAAGAGTGATCACGCACGAAAACATTATGAGGAGCTTTGGAAACAACAAAGAAAGCTGCAATGCAGCTGGAAGGAAAGGGTGCTGGACTTATATAAACAAAGTTTAGCAGGAAGGCAGCAAGCAAACAACGCACTCATGGCTGAGGGAAACTTTGCAAGAGCAGTGCGCGGGGAGGCGAATCAGGGCCCGGAGCTTGTCAAAGTTCCCAGGCCCGGAGCAGCCGAGCCCGGGAGTGTGGTGGTGCGCATCACTGCCAGGCCCATCCATCCCTTCGATCTCACGACCATCAAGCAGTCTTTCTCCATTGGGATCTTTGACAAGGAGTTTGTTCCAGGGATTGAAGGCTTTGGCATAGTTAAAGAGGTTAGTTTCATAGGAAAAAAGAAGAAGAAATTCTGATTGTGTCCAATCTTTTTAGGTGGGAGAAGGTGTACGGCGTGTGAAGAAAGGGGATAGAGTGGTTCCTATATTTCTGTGGAACTATTTCTATGCCAAACAAGGCTCTTGGCAGGATTTTATCACTGTCTCGGAGAAAGACGTGATTTTGATGCCTCATGACATCTCCGACGAGGATGCGGCACAGTTGATTATCAATCCTTGGACGGGCTATGGTCTTCTCAAGGATATCAATGCTCCGGAAGGAAGCTACGTCCTCCAGAATGGCGCTGGATCGGCGCTTGGAAGGTAGATCTTTAGTAGAGTCTCTCTACTCACAAAAACGATTTTTCACGCACTAGGATCATTATCAAGCTTGCAAAGCACTGGGGCATCAAGACCATCAACCTTGTGAGGCGTGACGAAATCAAGGAAGAGCTCAAGAGCATCGGTGCTGACGAAGTTTTCAACGTGACAAAAGAAGGTACAATTCTCCCACACCCGATAATCTTTAAGTTTGCGTGATCTTGGTGGGAAAGATGTTGCTGCCAAAGTAAAAGAACTTACAAATGGAGCCGGAGTGGAAGGCGCGATTGACATGGTAGCGGGGTCGCAAACAAAGCTGGCTGCCGCCTGCGTGAAATCCGGTGGGAAAGTCTTTACTATCGGCAACCTCGAATCATGGGACTCGGTGATATCGGTGAACGATCTCGCGAGAAAAATTTCCCATTCTTTCTGGAGCTTGGCAGCTGCTTCAGGGGCCATGCAAGAGCTGATGGCCAAAGAGATCCCAGAACTCTTCCAGGCAAAGATCATAGGATCGCTTCCAGTGGTGGCTAAATTTCCTCTCGAGGACTACGAGACTGCCATGGAACAGGCAGAGAAGCAGGCCAGACAAGGCAAAGTCCTCCTTGTTGGATGACGAAGCTTTGAAATTGTCGCGTCCCGCGAGACTTTCTCCCACTATAGACTGAAGAAGATTTCTTACTTATACTTCTATCTTGGATCGATCACCGACAGTGACAGTGGAGGAAGAAAGCTCGGACTATTCTCGCTCAGCACTTCCTCCGACACTGGCGTTGGAAACGGCGGCACAGCCACCTCCAAGTCGGGCTCCTCCAGCATTTGCACCACCCGGCTCATGCTCGGCCTGGAGCATGCACCAAAACGCCACCTTGATCATCCGCTCGAACTCGTTCCACTCCAAGTTTTTAAGCCCCGGGTCCGCGGTCGCCGACCCACTCGGGTGCCATGTAGCATCGAGTTCCTCGGATGGTGGTCACGTCGAGCTTTGTCAATTAGCTTGGCCAGGCCAAAGTCCGACACCTTTGGACAGAAGTTCTCGTCGAGGAGAATTTTTTGCGGCTTGATGTCGCAGTGGAGGATGCAATCGTAGCACTCCTCGTGCAAGTACGTGATGCGCTTTGCAACACCAAGAGCAATCGAGTACCTGCAAACCAACTTAGTAGACAAACTTTGGAAAGATCACGAACATACCTCGTTCCCCAGAGATCGATACACTCTTGTCCAGTGATCCGTTGCTCAGGAACTCGTAGACGAGTAAACGATGGCTTCCCTCAGCGCAGTAGTCCAAAAGTTTCACTAAGTTGACGTGATGAACCATTCCAAGGGTGGCGACCTCGGCTTTAAACTGTTTCTCTGGCTGCTCCTTCAAGAGTTTTTACCTCCACCACCGTCATATCCGGAAGAATACCCTTGTAAACACTTCCGAATCCACCAGCCCCGAGCTTGCAGCTAAAATGGTTTGTCGCAACTTCCAGCTGCTCGTACGAGAACCATGTCGGGCCGCGGTGATCCTTTGCGGCTTTCTTCCACATTCCACGAAGAGATCTTCGCCAGCAGAACCACGCCAACGACGCGATGCACAAGAAACTCGCGAGCTCTCCAATTGCGATGGCAAAGACGGTCTGTGACCTGCGTCAGAGAAGTAACTCCAGTTTCTCAAAGAATCGGGGAGTGACGGCGTATAAGCATCCAGGACCGTCACAAACACGTTCTATGTTCAATAAATTTTGTTTTGACAAAAAAATATAATGGATTTAGTGGATTTTAATATCTGTTGGATTAGTTTTAATCAGAACCACTCACTCCTATATATAACTTAGAGTTTTACCAAATGGACATATATGAAAAACTGATGTAAAATCTTTTGATTGCCAGGAAACCTCTTTATATCTAACCATTCACTATTGCCATTTTATAAAAGGACCATACTCATGAGAGGTGAGCATTTTGGTGGTACTTCATTCATATTTCAAATAGAACAAAGTTTATGGAATAATACGAAATGAAAAAAGGTGATGGAATGGATGTTTTTGATTTTTATGACTTTTGGCTATCCTTTCATTATCTAAGTTTAAATATGGTTAAGCTTAAGCCAAAGCCAAGCCAAGCCAAGATTAGCTCACCTGCTCATCCTAGATTCTAATTAAGCCCTTCAAAAGAAAAATCTTTTTATTCTTAAAAATAATATGATCTAGCTGTTGAAAATAACAAGACTAAGAATGGTGATCAATTGCAGGTGCTAGAGGTGTCTAATTTCATTGCAAGAAAGTGTGAAAGCCAAGCCAACTTTAGCTCATCTTATATGAACTCATCCATAGATCTGCCAATACAGGAAGCTATGTCAATAGGGAGCCAAGGGAGCCATTATTGTCAACAATAATATTTTAAGAATATTTTAGCACACTAAAGAATATTTTGTTAAGATTTTAGTGGTAATATTTTTATTAAATAGGTATTTTAAACCAAATTAATAATTTTAATAATATTTAGATTTGTATAAACTACCAATATCAGCTATTTAATAGAGGTTTTGCCTTATCAACTTATTTACAGAAGATTTATTATTTTAATATTTAATAGTTAGTATTTATACAAATTATTATTAATTTATAATGTATATTTAGATTAAATTTATTATTATTACATAAAATCACTATTATAAGAAATTCCATATGTGAGTATGGAAAGGGAATACAGGAAATATGCATATCAATTAGCCCAAAAACCTTAGCTTATATACAGGAGCGAGTAGTCCGGATTAAAACCAATCTGACAGCTACCAAAATCCCACTACGCTAATATTAGTATATAGCATCGTAGCCGTACACTTGGCCCTCACATCATCCCCTTCTCTTAGAATAATGGAAGACCATCAAGGTTCTCTTGTAGACGGGCTGGGATCTGGAGGAATGTCAGGAGGAGGCATCGGTGGATCTGTAAGTGGTATTAATTACTCCTGATCCCTTTCTATAAAGCGTTTCAACCGCTGCACATGCACAATCTCTAGAGGATCGGCTTGCTGAATGTCATGCTGAACCTCATAAATTTGTGGTCCAACTTGCCACAACACCTGATATGGTCCTTTCCACTGCGCAAGGAACCGTAAGATAGGGAAAACGGACTAACACCAAATCATCCACTTTGTACTCCATAGATGGTCAATGATGAGAGTTGTACTGCCGTTGTTGTCCCACTTGTACACTGCCTAAGTGTTTGGCAAACTTCGCTCAGACAAGTGGAAGAATGCTCATCAAATACTGATCCCATGACCTAGCATCGTCAGCTCGTGGCAATCGCAAAGGTAAACCCAACTCCATTGGTAATATTGGATCATGACCATATAGAAGTTTATATGGTGAAGCACCAATAGAACTCTACACACCTATGATATATGCATACCGAAAAGACGACAAATAACTATCCCAATCCGGATGCTGAAAGGTCACATACTTCGTAATCATCCTCTTGAATGTCCAAACAAATCGTTCTATCAAACTGTCTGATTGTGAATGATAAACACTTGTGAAAGTGTGATGTATCCCCAACCGAGATGTCAAAACATGAAATGTCTTAGCCATAAATATAAGACCATTATCCGAAAGAATCCGCTCTGGACAAGAATGCTAGAATACCACTCAATTGAGGAGGAAGTATCCAACAGCAGTTGCAGAGGCACTAGCAAAAGCACCAACTTCCACCCAACGAGTTAAGTAGTCAGAAGCAATAATAATATACTCATTGGCAGCAGTCGACCATGGAAAAGGTCCCATAAGATCAAATGCCACCAACTCAAACGGACGGGAAACTGCAATTGACTCCAACCGTCCTTCCGCAACCCGAGGGGGAGTATTACGAGCTTGGCACCAAACGTAGCTACACACATACCGGATAATATCACATCGCATCTCCGGCTAATAGAAAGACCTATGCAGCTTCTCAGTTACACGACGATGTCCCATATGCCCACCTAAAACAAGAGAATCATGGTAGGCATGGAGAAACTACGGAATAAAGATAAAAGGCACCACCAACCGTAAATGATTATCAGGATTCGTCCCCACAAAATAAAGAAGGCCATCTTCAAGGCGATATTGAGAATGTAAATGCCGGAAAGATAAGTTATTAGCAAGTGATGCAAGATTCTCAAATCCATCTCGAAGCTTTTGAATCTACGGCTCAATCTCTTCAGCCTCACGAACCTCATCAAGAGAAGGTAGATCTTGCTCTGTGCCTTGTGGACACTAAACGTCAAGTACAACAACTGCCGACGACATAGAATCCTCATCTAAAAAATCCATAGAGGCTAGAACAATAGGCTCGTCAGAAACATGAGAAGAGAATGAAGAAGGAAGAGGAGCTCGAGAAAGGGCATCAACATCAGCCATAGAACTCCCTGGGCAATAAACAACATCAAATCATATATTTGAAACTTCAAAGCCCATCGAGCAGTATAACCAACCAGGTTCTTCTACTTCAATAATGAAGTAACAGCAACATGATCACCTTCAAGTAACGTCCGATAACCATGTAGATATGCATGAAGTTTCTCAAAACCCCAAACTGCTGTTAAACACTCCTTCTCTGTCGTGGAGTAGTTCATTTCCATTGGTTGTAATGTACAGCTTATATACACAATAGGATGGCGCTGACCAAGCACACTTGAGCTCTCTTGCATCAACACACCTCCAAGACCAATGTCAAAAGCATCCATGCGCAAAATAAAAGGTTGAGTGTAGTCAAGATATGCCAAAACCGGAGGAGTCGTTAATAACTCTTTGAGATCCCCAAACGCCCTCTCACAATCTGGAGACTAAATGAAAGATGATGTTGATGACTTCAGCAACGCTCGCAATGGTGCAGTGTGATCAGAAAGATGATCCACAAAACAACCAAGATACTGCACCTTGCCCAAGAAGTGTTGCACATCATTCACACACTTTGGAGTAGGGAACTTTATAACAACCATAAGTTTGTCAGGATCAACTTGCAAACCCTCACGAAAAATACGGTACCCAAGATAAGTTGTATCCTTGGACCCAAACACGCGCTTCGACCGCTTCAGCTTTAAACCAACGTCGTGTAGCTGATCTAACACTTTACAAACATCACGATCGTGCTCCTCCCACATCCCCTTTGAGTGGATCAAGACGTCATCAATGAAGTCAACATTCACCTTTGGCATATTGCAAAGAACCTCATCCATAATCCGCTGGAAAGTTGCTGGAGCATTGTTCAAACCAAACGGCATCACCAAGAACTCGTACAAACCAAATGGTGTACGAAAAGTAGTCTTAGGAATATCTTCTTCAGCCATCGGTACTTGCCAGTACCCAGAAACAAGATCTAACTTAGTGAACCAATGACTTCGCCCCAAATGATCCAAGAGATCAGCAGTGTGAGAAAGAGGGTACACATATAAGATTGTCACTTCATTTAACGGACGATAGTCGATGCAGAAATGAATACTCCCATCAGGTTTTGTCACAAGATAAGGTTCACATGCCCAAGGACTCCGCGACTTCTGAATAACACCCTTCTCCAACATCTCCTTGACATTTGCACATAAAATCCTAATCTCCTTGGGTGACCGACGACGAACAGAAACCTTGATTAGAGGAGCATCCCCGGTTGCAATTGGATGACATGTGGCAATCTTGGCCCCAGACGATAGGTCAGATTCAAAGAGATTAGAATACTCCTTCATGAGCCGGTCCACCGCTGCAACACAAAATCGTCGGAGGGATCAGAAAAGGGAAGAGCAGAACAAGATAGAAACATAAGAGGAAATAGTGGGGGAACAAAAGTAATGGAAGCAGAGGTAGAAGTAGAGGGACAAAGAGGTACAAAAGTGAGAGGAATGGATGGAACATAAGGAAGTATGAGACAAGGCTCAAAGTCATATTTGACATGATTGTGCTGCAACCAATCTATACCAAGAATGAGGTCAAAAGCTTGACTCAGCACCACCTGCAATGACTGCAACTCAAGCTTGAGATCACCCACACGCACAACCAGGTTTGCCTCATCCCGTGCACATGCATGTGTACAACCGTTGCCATAAAGAATGAAAATTGGTTCTGCCGCACGATGCAAGTGTAGACGAAAACGTGTGGTAACAAATCGAGCAATAGAAGATAAACTCGAACCTGTATCAACCAACACAAAGAGAATAATAGAAGACCTCTTGTTATAAAAACGAGCTTGGAAAGTAAACATTGGATGAATCGGTGCCGAGTGAACCCCTTGATGATACTCCTGAAAGAAAGATGGAGGGGTCACTGACTTATTCGCGCAAGGTCCTTCTGTTACTTGTGCGACTTCTCATTTCCTGAATGCACCTCGGTGTCCAAACCTTCCACTGCAGCAGTACCAATGGGACGTTGCTGACGCCAAGGTCTCCACCCAGGAAATGGAGATTGCCAATCCAGAAAATGCCGACAATGCCGATAAGTATAACCAACTTTATCACATGCCCAGCAGCGAACATCATGACCATGACCACGTCCTCTCCCTTGTCCTTGGACTCAAGCAGCAGCAACATCAACCTCCATTGGAACAAGACCATCACTCATAGGAAGTGGAGCTGAAGGATGTGTAGCAAGAAGTGGAAGAGGCGACGTCTCATAACGTTGTGCCAAGCGAAGAGCATCGTTAAGGGTGGCAGGAGCAAGTGCATGCACAAGTCCGACAAGATCTTGATGAAGTGCTAGCCACAACATTCCTAGCTTGATCTGCTCCGACATATTGGGCTCCACATGAAGCAAAAGACTTCGAAAACAAGCGCCAAATTGCATTACTGACTCAGATGGCCCTTGGTGAAGACGATGCAATTGTTAAAAGGCATTATCACAGTCGTCGGCATAGCCGAAGGCGTGTTTGAAGATGTCCGGGAGAACACTCCAATCCCTACGAGTGGTTGCGCTCAAACCATTGTACCATTGCAATGCCGTCCCTTGGAGATATATGGGAAACTCATGCAAACGTCGAGCATCATCCTAAGAATGATATATGGCAATCACTGTGAAGTGATCGAACCAATGGTACACATCATCCCCAGGATTCCCGTGAAAGAACTCTGGCTGAACGCGAGGATTGGCACCAAGAGGAGGAGGAGTTGCACCACATGCCATG